AAATGACGATGCGCGTTTGTTCATATGGGCGGGCTTTACCCCCCCCCCCGCAAGATACCATTAATCGGTCGTTCCTCTGATATGGAAGTGCGGTTAAACACAATAAGAAAAGGACCAACGAATGAGATTCTCACAGAGGCCGAGCGCAACCTACGCCCGTACCTCTGGAGCGCAATGTAATTTCAAGGGCTTTAGTGTCTTTTCTTCACATTTTCTCCATCACTAGTGAACCAATCACCGAAACTGCTTCCATTTTCGAATGCCGAATCCAAATCTACTCGACCACGCAATGCGCCTTCAGTAGTGAGAGAGTGTGGGTTTATTCATAGCATTAGGGTAGAGCACACGCTCTTTTGTGTAGAAAATTTGCGACTAACTCAATGTGGGCTCGCAATTGCCGAGTGTATTTGCTACTTATCCGAAATTATTAGAGGGCATTTGTGGATGGAGGACACGGGTGATGTGTAGACAATAGAAGCTTTACGAGACATTGCTTGTCCCTGGACTTCACATATGCAGTGAGGGGGAGGGGGTGGGGAGGAAGGCGAAGTCATGTGCTCTTGGAAACCACAGTTTGCACAGTGACGGAGTAAATGGAGACCGTGGACACGCCTTGCACTTTAACCTCAATCTATGATTCTTCAGTATCTGTTGAACCGACGTGTGGACAGTTTTAGTGTTTGAGCATGAACATGTGTTTTTAATGTGAAGCCTTGAAATGCAAATCATGAACAATAGCGGAGTTTCTTAAGTTTCTTAACTGCAGATATTTCACAAACCAAAGCAACGCTGTGCAGGTAGCTCTCCAGTAGTGTCTTGATCAGGAAAAGTACACAGCCATTCCATGTGAAAGCAAATACTGTAGCCCTCTTGGTGATAATCGAGGGGTGTTCCTTCCAGCTTTCGATGTCGTGGATAAAACGGGGTACTGAAGTACTATTGAAATTGCTACCTTTTCTAGATAGTCCGTTTCCCATCCCAATCGCTGTAAAGAATATGTATTTCATAAACTTTTTTTGGAAGTATTTTTTGTCAGCAGTTGTTATCTACAGACCTTTCGGAACCGATAAGGATGGCGCACGTAGACCGCTCGTAAAACTCAAAAAAAAACTCGAAACAATCGAGGAGCGTATGAAACAGGCTAAGAGAACCATCACTGCTAAACTCATATTTTTATCAAATTTTCGGGGAAGCTTTTGTCACACTGAAAAGGCATGATAAGGGCGTGATAAGGGCGAACTTTTCGGAAATGTGGGCGAGATTGATGGTGTTGTCCCTATATTTTTTCTACCAAATTCCTCGCTCAGTTGCTACCGGCTGTCAACAACATGTATACCGCTTTGACGGCCGGAAGAACAAGTACCGTTGGAGTAGGTGATTGTTTTTAGTGCTAACTGTTGAACATTAGTCCGCGCCGGCTGCTTAATATATAAACTGGTACTGGCGACGTAGAGGTGTCTTGTGAATTATTTTAGGTGATCCATTTTGCAACCTAATACTGTAATGCTTCCTTATTATCTCCTTTGCTTGAAGATGGTTTTATTCAGGCTGGCTTTTTAAAGTAATTGCTTTTGTAGTAACTGCGTTCTCTATGTCTTTAGTCAGGCAGCATCTGCAAAATAAGACCTCCGCCACCGCTTTCCTTCAACGTTGATATTGCTTCGGTAGTTGTCCTTATGTGCGTTACTTTGACCAGTGAGTGTGAAGTGCGGGAAGTAGTCATTTGGTCACAAGTTATCAAAGTAACGTATTTTGATCTTATGAGCAATTCCCATATTTATAGCTTCAATTCAATAGAATAACATGCACTGATTTTTTAGATCGGTTCAAACACCAGTCGAACACTGCTTCTTCAAGACGTGACGCCGTAGAAATAGCATCACGTTTTTGAGAAGCGGTTTTCGGTTCGCGTCTTCAGAGACCAGAGACCTATGTAAACAACAGTTGTGGATGGGGGACATAAAGGCCCTTCTGAAGCGGAGTATTCACTCTGGTTGTGTAGCTGATACTCGGCGGTAATACAGCTCAGCAGCCGTTTTGGAGTAGGAGGTGTTCACATCATTTCCTTGTACATATGTGGTTCATTGGCCACAGGATCCTTGCTGAATTTTTACTCGCTTTTCGGGAACCTTTCGGATTTTCGTATTTTTCTATTTTCTCATGTGAAATTGTTTCCTTCGCTACCACTCTTGAGCTATCGCTCA